AGAGAGTAGACAGAAATTCATCTCTAAAAATTCAGCAAGTCTTCAGTCTGCCTTGCACCAATTACAGCTACATGCCTTTTTCCTGGATCTTGGCACTTGCATGTGCCACTTATAGTTTAAATACTACATTTCCAAAAGGGAGCCAACCACCAGCTTCCTTCTCATGCTATTTTTGGTTCTGATGAAAACAACATTACCCTAGCAAACAAGTTTCTGGGAGCCAACTTTAACGCTTTCCTTTCCACATTCAAGTATTTGATATAGCTTATAATTTGGATCTCTTCGTCCATGTATCTTGCATTCACAGATATCATTCCTTTCTCATTCTCCTAATTCTAACTCAGTACTTCACAGTTTTTAATAATTCATTCTTATTTGGTTCATCGATCACGTGCCAAGTTTCTCTAAAGAACACATCCTTTGGCCCTTTAAAAAACCTTCACTGTAATCAGAATCACACAACACAGTGCTGATCATATCAACAATTTCCAGGAAAAAAAAGACCACTTCAGTGCTTAGTTGGAATACTAATAGAAGCACATTAAAATTTGTCTGATAGTGGCCTTTTCACCTCTTACAGGACATTACAAAAAAAACCACTGTTCATTAGTAACTCTTTCTGGCAAATACAGCCAAGGTGGCTTCTGTTTGCATCAGGATATTCTACAATATTTGATTGGAAAGGGGGAGAATATGAAAAAAAGTTTTCTTAGATAAAGCATAATAAGGATGCTGGAGAATAAATAATTTTTAAATGGTGTCTATCAGTAGAGGGCTCAAATAAACAGCCCAAATAACATTGCTTAGTAAATAATATAGGAAGAAAACAAAGACCTGTACATTTTAGATTGAATGCAAAATGTGATTCAGTCCCCCCCAATCACCTTTGAAAAACTTCCAGGTATTTGCTGGAATGGCATGAATAAAAAGCAGAAATCACTTTTCCAATATACTTTGGAAGGAAATAAAATACTTGACTTCTAGCCCCATCCTCAGCTGGTAACAGCCTGAAGCAATAAACCTGTATTTATTTGTAAATGGAAGATAATTATTTATATTCACTTGACAGTAATCTCATAAAGATGAATGATCTCACCTGAAAGGGCCTTAGGAACTAGTAAGGATTTTACAATTCTCAGAGCTTTATTTTATTTTTGTTTTCAGAAATTAAAGAGATTAAAAAACATTCTTTTACTGAAGATTGCAGAGGTTAGCTATGAACTATCTGTCAGATTATTACATTACCTTCATTTCTCAGGAAAGTTTTACAGTATGCAGTAGCCTTTATGAAACCTTAATAAATATAATTATATAAAAATTGAAAAAGTAATATTAATTATATCTTTTGAATATATCTCAGTATATCTTTTAAATACAGCCTTTATAGAGCCTGAATAAATATCATGACATAAAAATTGAAAAAGTGGTATTAATTATATCTTTTAACTACACATAAAAATTTGAAAAATGATACTAAATATATCTTTTAAATAAAGTATTTTTATCTATTTCTACCCACTTGTGTGACACCCTAAAAATTCCACACATGGTTGAAAATCCTTCATAAAAATTTAGAGTTACTGAATTTGTCTATGTTGACCATGGCAATCTTGACTAGGTCCAGTTGATTCCTAATCTCCTCCTTCAAGTCATTTGCAGACATCCAAATGTTTTTTGAGAATAAATGCCCTAGGAAATGGACCAGCCACAATCTGTTAAACTGTGAACCCAGGCACATATTTCAAGTACACTATGGAAAATGTACTCTCATTCTAAATTTCAATGTCTCCTCATGTGTGAAATGGTAAAAACCTATCCTGGCTACATTCAAATAAAAGAAATAAAAGATGGTTTACCTAGAGTCATGGAGCCACTCCAATGTTCTCCTTTCTTCAGAGCTTTAGTGATAGCCACTGAATCAGGTAGTTGTAAGCGAGCTCTACCAACCTTCCCAGCATATCAGGAGATCATAACTCAAGAAGAGCAACTCAAGCTGCAATCAATAAGCCACATGCTCCAGATATTCATAAGTGCATATTCATTCCCTCTTGGGCTTTCCTGTGTTTTGGATAGGTCTACATTGCTCCTAACTCAAGCATTATTCTCAGTTTTTCTCTTCTAATTCTTTTAGACTTGAAGATATATCTTGTCTTCTACAGGTTATCCATGGTACAGTCCAAAGATCATTGATTCATAATTATCATCTCTTCTTCCCTCCCTCTCAACACCCTGGAAACAAGCTAATGAATTATCTCAAAACAACAACAACAACAGTAATAAACACTAATAAAGCTAGAACTCAATTTTAGTAAAGGAAACCTCACTGCTTATTTCTATCCTGACCTTGATCTACTCTGGAGCACCCTGTTCCCCAACACCATGGAGTAACCACCCTATCAAAAGGGAAACCTCAGAGCAATAAAGCTCTGACCTCATGAATTCTTCTCAGGTAATTAGTTCTTAATTCAGTCCAATTTTTGAGAAGAGCCCAGTTATATAGGGAATTTAGGTACTAAACTGATGTCTTGAAATTTAACTTCTCAAACTACTAACTCTATGTTGCCACTTAATTATTTTTTTCTGTAGTCATTTGATACTATCTATAGTAGTTAGGGTAGAAATATAAGCAATTGAGAACCAAAAGAAGTTCCATCTATTCCTCAAAAAAAATCGTGACAATAACTTTGTCATCCCAAGTTTTAAGTTTATGATTTGCCCAAAATCATACAGCTGGCAAGTAGAAAAATGGTATTTGATTTCTGGCGCTTCTAAATTCAGTGTTTGAATATTTTATTTTGTTTTCAGTCATGGAGCTTGAACTCAGCGCCTCACCCCTGTCCCTGAGTTGTTTTTTTTTTTCATTCAAGGCTAGTGCCCTACCACTTTGAGCCATAACTCCACTTCTGGTTTTCTGGTGGTTAATTGGAGTTTCTGGTGGTTAATTGGTTAATTGAAGACTCATGGACTTTCCTGTCCTCACTGGATTGAAACTAGGATCCTTAGATGTCAGCCTCTTGAGATGCTAGTATTACAGGTGTAAGCCACCAGCGCCCAGCTCCAGAGGGTCTGAATTTTTATTATACTCTTCCACTTTTCATGAAAAGAGAAATTATGCATCAAAACTCTTTTTTAAAAATCCCAGCAGTAAAAGGAGATCTATGATCATGTCATTAAAACACATAAAGGGAATTTAAATACTTAAAACTCAGTGAAAGAAGCCAGTCAGAAAGGATTATATACAACATAATTCCAAACTCAATAACATTTTGTAAAAGGTAAAATGACAGAGTTAGTAAAAGATCAGTGGTCTGGCAGGACTGGGGGAAGGAAGGGTATTAAAGAACACATAGGACATTTTAAGACACTGAAATTTTTTTGATACTATAATCACATACACATGTCAGATTTGTCAAACCCCATAGAATATAAGCCCATCAAGAGGAACCTTAATGCAAACCATAATGCAGTGTCGATGCAGGTGAATCTGTTGTAGATAAGTGCTGTTGTAGTGCAGGATATTGACAGTGGGAGAGGCTGTGTTGTGAAGGGCAGGATGTCTATGGGAAATATATATATTTTCTGTTAAATTTTGCTGTAAATCTGAAATTTCTTTAAAGAAGACAGTCCTTTCTACACTTGCTCCACACAAACATCATAGCCTTTACCTCACCCTGCTTCATTACTATCTGTAGAACTTTAGATATTAACAAAAGAGCAAAAAACAAACTAGAGAAGGTATCCTAGAATATCTTTATTCAGTCTTTATCTCCCCCACTTTTTTCCTGTAATCTGTGGCTCTTTTTGTCTTGTTATCCCTGCCTCCCAACCAGAAATCACAAAAGGAGAAGAAATGAAAATGTTTCCACAACACTCTTTGCCTCTGCTGTCTCAGTCATTGTTGCTCCCAAACGTGTTAAATCAAAGCAATCATTGGTCATACTCAGAGTCTCTGTATGTTAATAATTTCGCCAGGCATAGGGGGAATGGCTTGTCTCTGTTTCCCAATGTCAGGTACCTACATTGGAAAGGCTCCAAGACTGGGTTGACACACAGCTTTTCTCCAGCCTGTGTGGATGGATGATGGTTCTGGGGCTGAGGCCTCAGCTAGCCTGCTGATCACAACATTTATCAATGGGTACCAGTCTCTCCCTATAGGCTAGCTTCATTTTCCTAGTGGTATGGTGGCTGTGTTACAAGAGAGAGAATCTCAAAAGTACAAGGAAAGTGAAGAATATTTTCAGGATCTAGTCCTGCCCTCATTTCTGCCATACTCGAAGCTGCTACAAAGGTCTTTCCCTGTTCAACGAGAAAGAACCAGGACACAAACTGCTGGGTTGAAGGAGAGTGTTAAGGTCAGATTGTCAGAACATATGAAATAGGACATATTGTTGCAGTCATTTTGGAAAATAGGATCTGCCCCAGTAACTCCTGCTATAGCTTTTTGGGCTTAAATCTCTTGGCGCATATTATATTTGAATGCTAAGACTTTACACGTCTACCTCTGATTGTTTCAGATTACCAAACACAGAATGGAAGGGACCACCATGTTAAGTACTTAATTTCCATGAGATTCACCAAGGATCTTGTCCTTAACAGTCAGAACATATAATTGCAACCACACACAGATACATACACCTGAGTTACTACTATTTTTAATGGTATAACATTTGCAATGTGTTACACAAAAATCTCCACATTAACCAAAAAGGCAGATAGCATCTTCCATGTGTGAGTTTTATGACTCCAATTAGGTCTTTGTTGCTTGAGAAAAGTACATAGTTTCTTCTCCTGGGTGATTAGAATCTCGTAAAGCAATAATTGAATCTCAGAATTGAGGGAGGAAGCCGCGACCTCAAAGAAACTATGTTTGCTTCTCCATCATCAGTCACTTCAGTGTAATAGATTATTTAAAGATTTATATTAGTAATCTATGTGGACCTTGATTATGAATGTGTACCTCTTCTGAAAATTCACTAATAAAGGAAACTGTCCCTCTTCAGTTGATTTCATAGGTGGCTTTGACTCTTACGGCTATCAAGGGCCTCAAAAGACATCTCATTTACAACTACAGCCTATGTACATGTAAGTACTTTACTTTTAAAGGTATTTTACTGGAAAACAAAAAAGATGGCCAAGTATTGTATCATGGCACAAGACACATGGCTTATAACTCTACTTTGGTAATATGCCTACAGTATGTTTTTACTTATAGCATTATAAATAAGGTAATTCTTGAAGTATTTCCTTCATGGTTTTCTTTAAATTTGGACTTCCAAGAAATGTCTGAAGTTACTTTTAGTCTTACATGAGTATTATATCACCTGCATGGTTAACAGGCCTAATTGATTTATCAGTTCTTTGAATTTCCCAAAAGTTTTTATAAATTTGAAAAGTGATACAACAACATAGGGAGTTATATATAACTATATAGAATTCCTGTTTTTCTGGTTTGCCAAAGCTGGTCCAAATGTACCCCAGATGTCTTGGTATAATTATTAGCCTTCCATGTTTTTCTCAAAATAGTTCTTTTTAGATAACAAATCATAGTTAACCCTAGATTTGGGAGGTATTTAAAAATAAAAATAAAAACTTGATCATTTTTTTCAAATGTGAAAGTGAAGATGAAACTGGAACACATTAACACTGAAACTTACCAAACCCCTTAACTCTAGTACTCCAGAGGGCAGAGAAACAATCAGAGCCTGATTTTTATATCTGTGTTTAGGCAAATTCCCCTGGAAAACAACTGATAACAAATTGTATATATCAGCATCAAGTGATATGCTGAATTGCAAGCGAAGATCAAAATAGAAAGTAAGATTCCAATTCATTTTAAACTGTGCACTTCTCTCTTTGAAGATATGTGTTTGTTGTCATTGTCCTCTACCATTAAGTCATCTCCCTTTTAATACCTTTGGTAAATAGGATAATCGATAAAGTTTGGGGGTGGGGTGTCTCCTCCTAAGAGCTTAAAGTAATCTTTAGACAATCCTTTCAAGCTCCTCTTTAAAATGGAAGGGTCTGTGCATGTGCCTGCCTTTTACTTTGTGGCCTTGTAGTTCCCTGCAAGCATTTGCTAACAACATACATAGAAAAGATGATGTGTCACTCAAAGCATTGCCTCTGTAAACAGTGAATTACACATCCTTCCTTTCTCATCCTCACAATCCCTGCCCTGATTCAGCCATTTGTGTTAAAATTTCCAGAATCCCATCCTCCACAGGACCGCTACCAAATTCATCTTCCTCCAGCCCTACTCTGATTATTTTACTCCCTGCCCCTAAGCTATCAATGACTATGTGCTACACTATATCCAAACTCCTTGCCCTAGCCTGCATGTCTACTTCCATCTAGCCTCAGTGTTCTATTGAAATATTAACTATCAATAACTTCTCAGTCCCCAATCATAGGCAGATGGTCCTAGATGTTACTAGGAAGATAAAGTGCTCAATATGCTCTGCCCTTCTTTAGCTTTTCATCTAGTGAGAAGGCAACTAATCTGGTAGCTCCACCGAGCCATTTCTTTCTATAAACTATAACCCTGTCTTCTTCAAATATGAGACATAGGACTGGATGTGTGGCTCAAGTGGTACAGTGCCTATCTAGCAAGAATAAGGCTCTGAGTTCCAACCCAGGAACTCTATAAAGTAAAAAGAAAATGAAAGAAACAAGAGCTGGTGGCTCACACCTATAATCATAGCTGCTTGAGGGCAGAGAACACATGGGTCATGGTTCAAGGCCAGGATAGGCACAAAGATAGTAACAGATCATAACACCCCATCTCAAACAATAGCTGTGTATGGTTGTGAGCACCTGACACCCTAAATATACAGGAATCCGAGATAGAGAAGATCATAGTTCCAGGACAGTTTGGTAAAAAATCATAAAACCCCATCTTAAAAGAAAAATCAAGGGGAGATAATATCTGTCATCTTATTTATGCAGGCATAAACAGATGGATTACTGTTCACGACAACTTGAACAAAAAGTGATAGCCTTATCTGAAAAATAACCATAGCAGCCAAGCTCTTGGAGTTCATGCCTAATCTAAGCTTCTCAGGATTGAAGTTTGAAGCCAGCCTGAGCAGAAAAGTCCTTGAGACTGGAGTCCTATAGACTGGAGGCATGGTTCAAGTGACAGAGCATGAACAATGAGCAAGCAAACTGAGCAAGAAGAGGAAGCCCTGAATTGGAACTCTCCTCAGCTCCCTTATTGGCACACACTCAAAGAAAATAATTAGAACAAAAGGCTGAAAGCATGGCTCAAGTGGTAGAGTGCCTGAAAACATGAAGCCACGAATTAAACCGAATACCATAAAAAAAAAAAAAAAGTAGTTTTCCCAATTCTCCATGGCTGTTCTCTTGATGTCTGGTCTCATCTCTTTTAATTTTACCTTTTAAAAATCTCATTACCCTTAAATTTTTAATCTTAAAATACACGTTCTATATGAATATTTTCTTAATTTGTTTCTTCTCATTTTTCTATTTTCTTTTTAACATAGATTACAGTTGTTTGCACTTACACTGTACTTTCCCTAACTGCTCAAAAAATTTGATAGCTACAACCAAAAAAATATGTTATTTATATCCAATTATTTACATCCTTTCATACTTCCCTTTTGTGTATATTCACTGGTACTTGGACTTGAGCTCAGGTACTGAGATCTGGGCATTGTCTTTTAGCTTTTTCTTGTAAAGCTAGTTTTCTACCAGTTGAGCCACAGCTCTACTTGTGGCATTTTGCTGGTTAATTGGAGATAAGAGTCTCACAAGTTTTCCTGCCCAGACTGGCTTTGATCCTTAGATCTCTACTTCCTGGGTTGCTAGGATTACAGTCATGAATAACCAGTGCCCAGCTCTTATCTTTAAAAAAAAAAAGACTGCATCTTGATATATAACCCAAGCTGACCTAGAACTCATGATCCTCTTCCTCCAACTCCAAAGTACTGGGATTACAGGCATATGCCACCATGCCTTGCTTACTTTACATTATTTACATTCTTCTCAGCATTTTATTGCAACCTTTAATTTAATGACTGGAATGACCTATTGAAGATAGACCACCTAAGATAAATTTTTATGATAAATTTTATGACCTCTGACATATAACTTTGAGTAATTTTATCTAATCTTACCTAATCTTATCTAATCTCACATTTCCTTACCTACAAAATACAGATGAATGCACCTACTTCATGTAATTATTTTTAAATTATAGGAAATAATATTTTCCTAGCACATAAGACTTAGAACATGTCACAGAAAAAGTTCTTTATAAATGTAATTTATTAGTAGTATTAGTAATATAAATAATGCTTATCAACTTATGAATGCTCATCTTACTTATGAAAAAGCTTTATCCAATCAGAAATCAACATATGCCAACTGGCCTCCCACAAGATCTCTTCTATAAAAAGCATATGACATGTTTATGTAATAAATGAGTATTGATTTGTGCTCAAATAGATTAAACAACTACAAAGCTAGCAATTGCTTACTTCTGACAATATTATGTAATCACTCATTTAACAGTCAACTGTAATAACTAATATAATAGCTAATATAATCAAATATGCTATTTGAAATCACTCACATAATTCTAGCATTGGTCATTAAAAAGACACAGGTTTATAAAGAATTATATTTTCTTGAAGATAAAACCTTGCCATGATTTTGTTAAATAGATATTATGACAGTCAAGTAAAAGTAATATATATATTATACATATTATATTATATATCATATTATATAATATAATATATATAAGTAATAAGTAATATATATATAATAGAAAGAGGGAGCTTTTCTCTTTACTACCAGAGGATGGTAAAACTCATTTTTGAGAGCTTTAAAATTTCAGCGTTTAGGCAATAAATGTTTAATGAAATTCAATTCAGCAAGGTAGGAATACTTAGGATACATAAATAGTTACTTGACAGAATTTACTATCATCCTTTTTGGGAAATATCCCGTCAGAAACCTCAAATCCTAGAGCACAAAGATTTTACTTTACAGATGAGGAAACTGAATCAAGGAAAGAAAAGCAAAGGGCAAGTATGGAGTTGGTAGCCTATAATCCCAGCTACATATGAGGTAGAGGAAGGAGGTCGCAGTCCTAGGCTGGCGGAACAAAAGAGCAAGACCCTATTTGTAAAATAACAAAAGCAAAACAGGTTAGAATCTCAGGTCAAGTGGTAGAGTCCTTGCCTAAAAGTTCAAGGATTGGACTTCAAATAGTAATGAGAGAGTCAGACAGACACACAGACAGAGACAGAGAAACAAAACTCACATAACTTGTTGGGAATGCATACATCTGGTATTATCAATCACTTTCCCTGACCCTTAGTATGGTAGTCTTTTCACAATCTCCACTGGACTGTGAGTTCAATCTGGTATTATATTCCATGCTTTTATTGTACTTATTTGTCCACATTACACCAAGTCAACTGCCATATTTCCATACAGGGTTGCACCCTCCTCTTTATCTAAAGTTTCCTTATTCCCTTTTGATTTTGCACTATGCAGTGTTGGATGAAGGGCTTTTCAACATTGTAATCCTCAAAATCAGTGCTGTTACTGCCACTGCTTAGTCAAATCCTATGGGGGAAAAAATCAAAACGGGTTCACCTGTAAACCTCACTCACTATGGAGAGGCAGCCCTGAGGGGTCTCCTCTGTCTTTGTCTTTTGGAGTGTTCCTTCTCCTGTCAATTCACCATGATTATATCTTGTAAAGTAAAAGGGATTTAACATGGGTTCAAGCACCCTAACAGTATTATATAGCAACTGGAAATAAAGCTGCTTCTTTGAAAGAAAGCAAATGCAAGAAAAGAAGAAAGAAAGGAAAAAAGAAAGGAAGGGAGGGAGGGAGGAAGGAAGGAAGGAAGGAAGGAAAGAAGGAAGGAAGGCAGGAAGGAAGGAAGGAAGGAAGGAAGGAAGGAAGGAAGGAAGGAAGGAAGGAAGGAAGGAAGGAAGGAAGGAAGGAAGAAGGAGAAAGAGAAGAAAAGAAAGAACAGAAAAGCAATGTGCAGTTTTAGCTGTGGACATCCATCAGACCTAGTAAATAATGGCCAGGATCCTCACCTCTCTGCCACGACATTGATGGTGCTGTGTCTGGAGTCTATGACCTCACTGTTCTCTTTATTCTCAGTTAAGTGTTGTAGATTTCCTTGATTTGCAATTATTTAGATTAGCTATACTCCCATCTCAAATGAAAAGGCTTTGGGTCATGTTTGTTTTTTGTTTTTTGTTTTTACTCTTTAGAGTTTGGTAAATCTCTCGAACATATTGATAGCAATGAAGATACAGCACTAAAATGTTATGTCCATATTAATTTTCTAACAAAACTGACCTTTGGACCCCCCCCCCCCCGGCCTATGTACCAGAGCCAGGACAGGTCTGATGGTACTGCCAGCCCTGTAATCCTGTCATGCAGGGTGCTAGATACATTTCAAACCCTGCATTCTCTCTGACAACCTCATTTTTGTATGACAAATATACTCATTTCATTGTACCCAGAAATAGAGTTTGAGTGACCATAAGTAGATTTTCTATGCAGGTGTTTGCACTGAGGAAAGAAAGAATTGCCTATTTGAAACCCAATTTGGTCTCTCTTTTTTTTTAATTTTCTCTTATTTTTCTGTTTTTTTTGTTTTCTGTTGTGCTTAGAGACATGAGAAAACGTGGGAAACAACCAAAACCTGTGCTATACTCTTTATTTAAAAACATGTTTTCTCTCTCTCTTAGGTCAAAATAATTCCGATGACTCCAGTATACCAGCACAGGACCTCTCAAAGAACTTTTTACGCAGTGGCCTCCTGCATTTTATGAAGAGCAAGAAGCGAGTGAATTTGAATATATATGCGTGTGTGTGTGTGTGTGTGTGTGTGTGTGTGTGTATACATATATATACATATTATCAGAAAAAAACTCAAAATTAACACACACACACACACACACACACACAAACACATACACCATTCTACTTTTAACCTCCTTTTAACTGAAATATGCAGGACACACCCATTCTAGATTTCCTGAAAGCAGGAGTCTTTTCCCAGGCCTTTCAAAGTTCCAAAGGAGACGTGTTGGTACCCTCTACCGGCCGTTACTAATTCTGCAGCCCAGCCTGTCGGCCTCTGTGAGCAGTCATCAAGGCACATTAGTTTAAAAGCCCTGTTTTCTGCACTCCATGCACATCTTGGTTACTTAGGCAATGTAATTGCAAAACAAACAAACAAAACCTACCCTGATGACTTTGTAATCCAAGTCTAAAATGGCAGGTTGTTTGCCCTAAAGGCTATACCTTACGTACTTGCCTTAACCCACCTAAGTCCTATGCCCAAGAATCTCCGTGCAGACATCCCCAAGTCACTTCCTTTAGGCTAACACATTGCTATTAATTCAGAATGAGTCCATATCTGCGTGTTTCACATCAACTTCCAAGACTGAAAAGCCAGCAGTTCCAGTGTGGGTCTGTGTAAGAAAACTGCCGCTCTCAGCAAAGTGCTTTACCACTGAGTCCATGTGGTGACCCAAATGAGACAAGTACCAATGACAACAGAAATGACCACTGTCATCTTCATAATGCTTAAGTATGATCTGCTGGGTTTGGGGTGAAGCAAAGTAATATTTATTAATCTACTAAACTCATTAAGCTACTAGAAGCAGAAATGGCTTAACTCACTGATTTTATTTATTGCACTTTAGGTGCTTTTATAAGTATCTACAAATGTCTTTTACTAACACAGAAAACAGCTATGGATTTCTATCAACAGAGGCCAACTGACTATGTATTAGCTATGTTTACTCTTTTATATCTAACTCAAATGAAGACCCGATGTAGGTGAACTTTCTTTTCTAACTTCGGCGTATGAGATTATTTTTTGGGTGGGGTGGGATGGGAGCAATAGTTACCTTGGTGAAATATTTGAGATCTTTTTGTGGTATCTGGGGGATCTGTTGTGTGTTAGAGTGTATTTCAATCCTCCTGTATTATTGTGGCAGAAAAACTGTGCTGTTAAACGTAGTTGGCAACAAGATGCCTTTGGGAACTTAATAGTAGGTCAATGTGTTTATGGGATATTCTGAACTCCTAGGAAATTTTGTTTGGTATTTTCAAGCATTATTTGGTTTTCATTAGTGGAAAACATAATTAGCTCAGGCTTATCAGTAACTCCAATGTGTCACATTATTTTTCTTGGATCCACTTGAGACACTGAAATCACTTTTGGTTTAAAGTAACACCTCATCTTTAACTGCAGTAAAATTCAGACTGAACAAGTTATAAATTGGCATGCAGCAACTCTTTCCTTTCTCTGAAGTTTCAGTTATTGGGTTAACCTCCCTTGGATCTTAGCCCATTCAAATCTACATAAAATATTCCCATCCCTGTGTCTGCATGGATGTTTGTAATATTCACACACACATGCACAGGTGCACACGCGCACACACACACATACACACACTGACAAAGGAACAAAAAGTTACCATTGCAACATAAGCAAAACATAAGGAAAAGATTCAAGCCTTCATGCTTGAATCTCCTCTGTGGCTTGTAGATGTGTGTCCATACAAACATGTCAATGAAACCTCATATGATGTTTTTATAGTGACATGCATGTTTAATGTATGAGCAAACTATTTACCAATATATTGTCCTTTGATTCCTAAAATATAGGTACTATACATGCCAGGAGTTCTTCTAATGTGATTATTATAATGAGGTTTCACTGGCATCCATGCAGTGATGAGACTCCTCCTAGTGGCTCATGTGTATGGATACAGAATATTAGCCCTCATATTTCTGTTTTCAGTTGCAGCCAACTTGCCACCAAATCACTACTGCCATCTCCACTAAAACTTTTAAAAACAGTTGTTGACTACTAAAAAGTAATCAGTGGACAGGCCTTTTCCGGGAGCAGTAAGCACAGTAATGTGGTTCTATCTGGGAAAACATCAAAGTTGTACAGCTGTATCCTCCCCAAAAATCTGGTGAAGAATGCTATTTTTCTAGGCTGAGCTTTTGTTATAAACCTAATCTTCTGAAGGCAAGAGTTACAATCCTGATGTGTCTCCTTTTTTTCTTTTGCATTTGTTAATTCTGAATGTATTTTTAACAGAGTGATTTTTTTGACTTACTAGTGTAATTTGCATTTTAAAAAATAAATGGAAAAAAAACCCAACTGTGTTTTCTGAGCCATCCCTGAAAGTCTCTACTGTTTTTGACAGGTGTATTTGATTATTATATTAGTCATGGGGAAACTCTATTAAATTTCTGTGAAAGCATTGCTGATGTCTATGTAGAACAAGGATGTAACTACACTGCAAAGAAACTGCAGGGTCAGGACACCATCCAAGCTCAGCTGTAGGTCACAGGTGCCTGCATCACTTCTCATATCTCTCCACTCTGAGGGTTCCCTTAGAACACTGCCTGCCACAGGCATACTGTGATCTAGAGAACATATTTGCCTTCTATCTGGGATTTAGAGTTAGCATCAAGCAAATGTCCTCAAGACTCCATCTCCAATTTAACCAGCAGAAACCCAGACAAGAGGTATGAGTCAAGTGGTAAAGCAGCAGCCAATCAAGTGCCAGTTCCTGCATCTTGTACTGGTAAAAATAGAACAATTTCAACAAGTAGTTTTATTTTACTTAAAAAATATATTCAAAAGCTCAGGAACAGCACCCAGGACTTGACTTCAAGCCCCAGGAATGCAGAAATATATATATATATATATATATATATATATATACACACATACATACATATAAAGTTGATATATATATTTGATATATAATTAGAAATACGTATGTATAATGTTGAAATATGTAAGTTCGAAATAATTTCCCTTTGATAACACAATATAATGTTATTGTTCTATTATTGTTACAATACTGCTGCTTAACAGAAGACAACTACAGTGACACACCTTGAGGTAGGAAAGGCACACAGAAAGGGTGAAGCCTTGTGGCTGTGAGTGTCTAGCCCCACATTTCAGTTGAAGTTCCCCATAGGGCCTAGGAAGGTGACAAGCCCTTAGGCCGGGCTACTTCTGCCGCATGCTTTGCTGGAGGTTGCATGCTCACTTCTGCTGCACGAAGACACATGTTAGCCTTCAAAAGTCAAAATGCTGCAGCTGACAGAACGTGGTGAAGGCTTTGAGGCCAGAATCTGATGTCCAACTTGTAGTGTTTCATTTCTCAGCTCCAGTGTGAGAGCTTTGTAAACAAACAAACCCACATTGACCTTTGTGCCGTGTGTGAAAAGGATGTTTAGTAGAGGTGAATGGCTGTCAGGATGTTGCTTTACACTGTGAGGTCAGAGGCATACATATTTCAGGTTCAGGTCAAAGGAAATAATTATTACCAAGTCAGGCATATCTACATAGGTATATGCCCTCACGAAAACAGCCCTACTTATGGATGCCTCAATTACATAGATTATAACTTTGTTAAATAACAAGCAAACCTATGGTATCATTTGGTAAGTATTTTTAAAAAATAAAGCAAATATCTAACATTGTATATCCATTCATATAATGAGTGGATCATTTTAATTCAGAAAGAGAAATTATTCTAGGAAATCTTTGAGATCCATATCCATTCATTGTGGAGATAGTAAACAAAGACCCAGGGTAATTAAGAAATTCAGAAATTACTCAAGATTACTTCTATATATATTGAAAAGGCAAGTAACTTGTCACTCTATGGAAAATTGTTTTAAGAACTCTGTCCAGAAAAGCAAAAATCAAATCCCATACCATGTTGACTGCCTCTGGCTTTTATAAATTCATGTGAAACAAGACTAGAAAGACGTTTTGTGACCTTCAGTAATAAAAATGTTTCTGGTCAGGGAAGATGGCTCAGTGGTAGAGTACTTGCCTTGCATGCATGAGGCCCTAGGTTCGATTCCTCAGCACCACATACATAAACAAAAAAAGCCGGAAGTAGTGCTGTGGCTCTAGTGGTAAAGTGTTAGACTTGAACTGAAGAGCTGAGGGACAGCACCCAGACTCAGAGTTCAAGTCCTACAACCAAAAAATAAAAAATATTTCTAAATTATTGTGTATTAGGTTCAATATAATTTCAGTTTTAAAATACATTTCATTTTGTTCTTTTAAAGAACAATCTTTAAGTATATGAAGTAAATGCATTTATTACTAAATGATGTTCAGTTAGAGTTAGATTTTCAGCTGTCTTGTAGGACACTTGTGAATAGGTAATATTATAGATATTAGGATCACTCAAGCAATCTCATTAGGAGTATTTCTATATTCCTAAAGAAAATCTTCCTTCAGATATTTTACCAGTTTTAGTCAGCACTCAAGGATTATACTCAAGAAGCAGTGATATAAAGATCCTTGCCTTGCCGGGCACAGGTAGCTCACGCCTGTAATCCTAGCTACTCAGGAGGCTGAGAACTGTGGATCACAAGCAGGAAACTCCATGAGACTCTAATCTCCAATAAACCACTAGAAAACCGGAAGTGGCACTGTGGTTCAAGCGGTAGAGCGCTTACCCTGAGCTGAAGAGCTAAGGGACAGCGCCCAGGCCCAGAGTTCAAAAGCCCCACAACTTACCAAAAAAAAAAAAAAAAAGATCCTTATTGCTTTATTGTTTTCATCATTACTTAGTGTCTTAGTGTCTGTGACCAAACTTCTCTTTATTTTATTGTATCCATATTCTACCAACTTCCAAGAAAGAGAAAAACAAAGTCTCTTTCTGATATATTATGTCCATTAAAAAAAAAAACAACCTTAGTATATTGGAGCAATCACTTTTGATAGTTGAGAGAGGAAAAAATGTGTATT